CCCACCCCCGTACTGGGAATTGAACTCACGGCCTTGCGCTTGCCAGGCAGGCGCTGTGCCGCTGAGCTAAATCCCCAGTCCCCCCCAGTTGATCTTTTACTTTAAAATGCGACTGCCTATAGTTAAGAGTCTAATTTATGTCACGTACACTACAGGGATGCAAAATGGCACAAGAGCATTGCTGTTTTCTCTGTACATTACAACAAATGACCACTGGCCAAGTTCAGGGAGCCTATGCAAGTTGCTAAGGAATTTGATCCATACTGTTTGAGAGACTAACAGAGCATGGCATTTGAACTGCTTTTAGACTCATTTAAACATAGTGACACGCGTTTTCTCTATACAATGGAATTCTACATTGAAAGCAAAAAGCTTCTGCTGCTGCTTTGTCTAAGAGATAATAACTATATTCTAAAAGTCAAATTAGCCCTATCTTTTGCATGGCTGGCGAGTTACTGACAGTGCTTTACAGAATAAAGAAGAGCTTTTCCAACTAGCGGTATAAACTGTTGGATTGTAAGGGCTGTGTGTTTTCTTAAGGTCACAGGGGTAACCAGTCATTAAATATGCCTTCTAATGTGGCTTCTTTTCCACAGGACACTTTTTCCAGTAATCTCATTTAAAATAATGAAAATGCAAAGAATTGAAAAAAATAAAATAAAATAAAAACAACACAAGAAAGTTTAAGAAAAACAATGGCAAAAAAAAAAAAAAAAAGATTGTGTGGGCTAAAGTCTCAAACTTCAAATCTAAGATTCCAACTCAGAACTGCTTGGAAGAGATTACCCTTGCTTGCCTCCCCTCCAAGGAAAACCGCTGCACATCCCGAACCTGTGCCATTAGCTTCCAGCTCTCCTTCTTCTCCTTACTTCTGACATTTACCAACTTTCTAAGCATCCATTTTACAACCATTTCTGCACCCATCGATGGCTTGGGCAAGAGCTCACATTCTTTCTTTTGGCCTTTAACTTTGCCCTCTCCATTCCTTTTTCCTTTGTCACTGCAATGAGCCCAAGCCTTTTATTCCTCTGCCGTTTCAATGAGCTCAAGTGTTTTTTATTCTTTGGGGAAAAAAAACTCTATTCGACATTATCCTCCAAAATATTTAATATACTTAATATGCTATGGTCAGAATATTTTTAAAGGATAATCCAGTCATGTGACTTGCTACTTTAATGCCATCAAACCCTTCCTTTGCAGATTTCATGAAATCTCAGTCCTAATGCTTGTCTTGCTAGTTTCATTTCTCCTCCAGGGCAAGGCTTTGCTACCTATTTAGCAATGTTGGACCTGTAGTAGATTCTGAGAAGCACTTTGTTCTTCTTCTGCCCTTAAATATGCTGTTTTCTTTCTTTATAGCTGAGTAATATTCCATTATATTAAAATGTCACAATTTTTTTATCCAATCCTCAGTGGATGGACATTTGGGTTGCTTCCACAATTTAGCTATTACAAATTGTGCTGCTATAAACATGGGTGCACATATATTGCTGTGATATAATGTTTTCAGATCTTCTGGGAAAAAAACCAGGAGGGGAATAGCTGGGTTGAATGGGACCTCTAGACCTAGTTTGCTGAGGAGTCTCCAAACTGATTTCCACAGTGGTTTCACCAGTCAACCTCAAGGCTTTTACAGGTAAATGGTCACAACTAGAGACCATACTCATAAGTGAAATAAATCAGACCTGCATATGTAAGCAACATATTGTCTCACTAGTGTAAGAACCTGAAAGAGTGAATAAAAATTAGGAGGTATGATAAACATTGTGAAAGGAGACTGCTTAAAAGTAAAAAGCAACTGAGATGAGGGAAAAGAGAAAAGAAGGGGAAAGTTATGTATATATGTATATGCAGGATAGCTAACAGTGGTACTACTGACATATCGCTTTATTGAAAGGAACAGTTAATGATTCATTAATTGATCAATCTTCATGTCTACAGTTGTTTTCCTGAGTAGCCACTTTGAAGTTATCAGTATGTAATACAGCAACCATTGTTAACTCCCTGTCACACTGTCTGAATTTCAGTATTGCTTGTACTATTCTTGTGCTACTTTGTAAAAGATTGTCTGCTTTTTAATATGTTTTTACTCTTTTACATTTAAAATTTTAAAAAGTATGCTATTTTCTGCCCCTGAAACTTCTTGCTGTCATCACCAACATATTCTTTCAGATACTGGTTTAAAAAGAAATAAAATGTGTTACGCACACATACAGACTCCCTACAATATATGTAAATATTATGTATGGCAAATATGTACTAATAAAATCCATAATAAAAGGATATTGGTTTAAATGTCACATGAGCAGGTTTGATATTTGATATATTCTTTGATTTTAGTCCATAGTTTTTGGTTCATAACTCCCTTTCTTAGGCAAACCATAGAAACTAGAACTTCTCCTCCTCAAAGCAGGTCACAGAAACTCTAATTTTCCTTCATCTTTCTCCCTCGGAGCACTCCATAAAGAAGGGCTCTGATCTACTTAAAATATCTCTCATTCCAGAGGAGTCCTCCCCCTATACTAGAGGGAAGAAAAGTACAAAGAAAGGTTAAAAATCTAAAGCAGACAGCACCTGCAGGCTTTCCCCACCCTGTGTTATCACTTATGCAATGAAGTCGGCATAATTACCCAAAGGACAAGGTTCAGGGAGCTTCCTCTAGCTAACACTAAGAGGACCCGGAGAGTGACACTTGGAGAAAGCATGGCCATCCAGTGTCCTTTCTCCTGTACCTCACCCTGCACATCTTTTCATCTGTATCCTATGAAACAAACTAGAAAGAGCGTTTCCCTGAGCGCTATGAGCTGCTCGAGCAAATTAACCACACTCAAGGAGGAGCATATGGGAATCCAGGCTGACAGTCTCTTGATCAGAAAAGCAAAGGTAAAATATCCTCAGGCTTGCAGCTGTTATCTAAAGTACATTTGGGACTGCGGGGCAGATGGGAGGAACTGAGTCCTGACCTGCGGGATCCCACACGTGCTAGCTGGAGAGAAATCCCTACACATGTGGTATCACAAAGTCACCGATGTTTCTTGTCCCGTGGGAGCCAAGAAAAACAAACAGGCAACACATTTGCAGCAAAGATGTCCCTGTTTCCCACAGTATTAAATTACAATCTTATTCTTTCTGCAAAACTTGTTCCAAGGGCAAATTATCTTTCCCGTATTTTGAAAATAATCTAAATCCACTATCATATTTTTTATATTTCTGTCTCCATGAACTTGAATTCTCCATTGGAATAGCGAGATTAACAAGGAAACTTGTTTCTAAAAGCAAGGAGGATATCGCTAGAAGTTAGTCCAACCAAGTTATTCTCAGACTGTAGTATACATGATTCCAGGCTCCTATATCAGTTTCTATAGCTCTCCCATACATAATAAATACACTCAGAGGCTTAAGAAACAAACTTATTTTTAGGGGCTGGGGATTTAGCTCAGTGGCACAGCGCCTGCCTGGCAAGCGCAAGGTCATGAGTTCGATTCCTGGTACCGGAAAAAAAAACAGAAATAAACTATTTTTAACCCTGTAAGCCCAGTATCTCACGGAGGCAGCTTGTCTGAAGTCTTGACTCAGCACTGTCTCCAAGCAGAATTAGAACTCTGAATTGCAAAAGTTCTACAGTCACACACAAGTCATTTTGTCCGGCTCCAGGTGCTCCTAGCTTCTGCGAAACTAGGGTGAAATGCTCTTCTGACATATCACAGTCAGAGCACTGCTAAAATGTTATCATCCGAAGATAATCATAATTAATGAAGGGAAAGTCCCCGGCTTGTCAAGGAAGTCAAGCAACTGAAACCTGAACCACAACTAAGCATTTTCAAAAATAAAACAAATAAGATACTTACGCATGTCACCGAAGGCCCCCTTTGTCACTTTGGTGGCACGTAATACCACTACCGTGAATTTGTGGCAATACTGGTGCTCCACCTAGAAATAAAAAATTATACATGTAAATAATTTGTCAATATGGAACTTCAGTATTTCCTTGAAACTAGTTACAAATATTCTACTTGAAAATAAGCGACACGCATACCATGAACATTTTTTGATGCTAATGTAGTTCCCTTTGTGACTGTTCTTCCTCACCGAACAATGATTGAGAAGTTTGTTTTCAAACGTCACTACACCATTGCTAGAAGCACTGGTTTGCTATAGGTTTATAAAGTACGCCTGGGGGAAAATGTAAATTAAGGACACCCTAGGCTCTAGGAGCTCAAGCAGGCTTTATATAGCTGATCAGGAAGTCGTGGCTTGGAAAGGTGAAATCTGAGCAGAATGTCTGAATCACCTAAATTACATTTTGTTGCCGGGCGTGGTGGCGCACGCCTGTAATCCCAGCACTCGGGAGGCTGAGGCGGGAGGATCGTTGCGAGTTCGAGATCAGCCTGGGCTACAAAATGAGCTCAAGGCCAGCCTGAACTACATAGCGAGACCCTGTGTCAAAAAGAAAAAATAAATAAATAAATTACTTTTTTTTATCATTCATTACCAACCAAAAGTCTTTATGTGGATGATATTTCCACGGAATTTTTCAAAACAGTGGGAGCCCCACACAAAAACCTCTAAAATACTTAATTAACTTAAATGTAACTTTTGTAAATCCACTTTGTAGCCCAGGCTGGTCTCAAACTCGCAAGGATCCCCCTTCCCTAGCCACCCAAGTGCTGGGATTACAGGCATGCACCACCATACCCAGTAACAAAATCCTTAAAGATCAGCCACTTTTTGTTCTAATTTTAGGAAAGTCTAGCTCACAAAATTGTCATAAGCATACGTAGCAGTTTAAAGAGTTTGCAATTAATTAAAAAGAAGCTAATGATAACACTGTGAAGTAATTAACAACAGTCCAAAGCAAGAAAGCAAGATAATATTATAAAAATAATAGATTCATAATGACTAGTAGTAGTGGGATATAAAGGCAAAAGTTATACAGTACTCAGCTTTTCAAGGAATCACTCTTTCTAAACAATAATTAAGCCGGGCGTGGTAGTACACGCCTGTAATCCCAGCACTCGGGAGACTGAGGCAGAAGGATCATTGTGAGTTTGGGATCAAAGTGGGCTACAAAGTGAGCTCAAGGCCAACCTGAACTGCATAGCAAGACCCTGTCTCAAAAAGACAAAAATAAATAAATAAATAAAATAAAAACAAAAAACACAATAATTAATATTCACATAATACCACTGAAGAAGAGGGAAAGAGGTGAAGTCACTTATATTGAACAAATCTTGTTTAAAAAGGTACGGTAAACATATTCATGACAGTCCTTATTCGACTTTATTTTCAAAGAAATAACCGTATAATTACATTTACAATAGCAACAAAACAAAAACTATCTGTTATGGTTGATACATTGTGTCAACTTGGGGAGTCTAGAGGTTTGGCTAAGTGACTCAGCAGGAAGCCAGGGTGCTTACTTTGTATACATCCTGAGCCTGTGGAAGAGGAGGGCATGGAGATTATGTGAGAGCTACACGGCCCTTAGGTGAGGGTAGCCTGTTTACAAAGTAAGGCAGGGAAAGAAGCTGCTTGCCGCCATTCCTCCCTTTTGCTCTGGCTGTTTGCTGTTCGGCTGCCATCCCCCCTTGCTCTTGTTGCTTTGCTATCTTCTGCCTCGGAGCCAGCCAAGTATGGACTGAAACCTCCACAAACTGTAAGCGAAATAAACCTTTCCTTCTTTCATTTTGGGTGCTGGGTATTTTGTCTCAGCAACGAGAGAAAAGTAATCAAGACACTATCAAGCATGAGTTCTTTAAAAGAAATGTAAGACTTGTGTTCTAAAAACATAAAATATATTTGAAATCAACTAAAAATCAACTAATAAAGGAAAGATACACCAAGTGCATGAATTGGAATTATTACTATTGTTAAATTAGAAATTCTTCTCAAATTTATGTACAATTTCAATATAAATTCTTTGAAAATTCCCATTGCCTTTTTTTCACAGTTCACAATTATTAATGTCATTACTCAGTATTAAATGTGCTAATGTGTGTATTTGTAAAGTCAAACATTCACAAACAATAAGAAACTACATCTCCAACAATAAAGATTCACTATGCTTCCCCATGATGAACTTATATGTACTGTGTATGATGTATGTGTTTGTATTTCTCTGTGTGTGTGTGTGTATGCAGAAAGAAGGGGTAGGTTTGTGTCTTAGTTGAATATTCATATTATTATTACACAGCACACATTACACACAGATCTCTTTTAAATAATGTATTTTGAAAGATATAACATGAAAATTAAAATGTTTTTATTAATTAATCTTATATTTTTCTATTAAATAGAAATAAAGTTTATTTAAAATGTTTGATGGCAAAAAAAAGTCTACTTAAGCCAGGGATATAGTTCAGTGGCATAAGTGCCTGCCTGGCAAGCGCAAGGTCTTGAGTTTGATTTCCAGTACCAAAAAAATAAGTTGTTACTTGAGATAAAAAAAATTAGAGGAATAACTTCAACATCTAAAAGTTCTAAATATTGAAGATTCATTTTACATTAATGAAATAAACATAGATATAATATGAATGCTTAAAAGTGTATATTACAAATACAAACAACACTTGCACTCCTGCCTCCAACAAAAAAGCGGTTTCATAAGTCACAATTATAATCCTGAAATTTTGCTATGTAAAACCAAAATCTATAAAGATTTCTCCACTGAGATACATATTTTCTATGCAAACCACAGAAGGGTTTTATGTTAAATATGCCGGGTTAAAATTAAGCCAAATATAAATAATGAGCCTGTTGCAAAAATTATAAAACTGATTTGAATATTGAGCCATCGCGGTAATACATAACAGAATAAAGGTCCAGATTATAACTAGTATAGTTGAGCAGAACTAAGAATTACATCCAGTCTCTCCTCAGAAATCATGCAAGCAAGGACACCTTCAGGAAGCCCAGTGAGTCTGGGCTCTGCCTCCCTGACCAGCGTGCAAGGCAGGTGAAGCCTCAGGCACCCTCTGGGGTCTTGGTGGCTACCCGGCACACACATAGTGTGTCAGCCTGGGCTGGCTGCCACCACTCACCAGTACAGGAGCTACACTGAGCACTGGGGATCTTCAGTCTCTCCTCCTGCCACTCACAAACAATCAGGACAGTGAGACTGCACTACAGGGAGTCTCTGGTTGTTCAAAAATGACAAAACAAAGGAGCAAAATGCAATCCCAGACCTCCACACCAACCAAAACAAGTCCAGGAGGCATCAACACAGAAGATCCTGGAAGTCTTACACCTGAAATTTCCGAAATGATAGCAACTGAAGTAAAGAAGCAACTCCATCAGGCCATAGAAGACATCAGATCAGAAATAATGTCTCAGGTGAGAAAAGATACAACAATAATGAAAACAACAATAATGAAAGAAATGTTCAACATATACAAAGATGACATAGACAAGAAAATAGAAGAGCATAGACAACTCAATGAAACCTTCAGGGAACAATATAGAAAAGAACTAGAAGGTATGAAAGAGATGCAAACAGATATCCAGGATCTTAAAAATTCCACTGAAAGCTTGCAAAACCACCTGAATAAAGCTGAAGATAGACTTTCAGACCTTGAAGACAGCATAGCCATAAATGAACGTGAAAGGAAGGATCTCTTAAAAAACAATAAGGAACCAGGAAATAACGATTCAACAACTGCAAGATGAAGCAAAGAGAAATCATGCCAGATTAATAGGTATTAATGAAACAACAGGTGCCAACACAAATGACATAAAAAGACTATTTGCAGAAATAATAGCAGAAAATTTCCAAGGCATGGAAAAAGAATCAGACACCCAAATAAGTGAAGCATATAGAACTCCAGTTAATCATAACTGAAATAAATCTACACCCAGACATATAGTAATTAAGATCCCAGAAACTCAACAAAAGCTCAGAATATTAACAGCTGTTAGAGAAAAGAAGCAGATCACCTATAAAGGAAAGCCTATCAGAATCACGGCAGACTTCTCAACACAAACCATCAAGGCAAGAAGAGCTTTGAGTGAAATATTTCAGGTACTGAAAGAAAACAACTTCCAACCCAGATTGATCTACCCTGCACAGCTATCTTTCAAATTTAATGGAGAAATAAAATATTTTCATGATAAAGAACAACTGAAGAAATTCATGAGCACCAAACCAACCCTACAAAGAGTATTAAGAGATATACCAGAAAAGAGATAAAATAGACCACAACTTCAAGAACAACAACAGAAAGGAACCACCAAGCAGAGCAAGCAGTTAAACAGAGGGAAAAAGGAAGATCCAACAGCAGAATAGCAGTACATACCAGTTATAGCCATCAATGTAAATGTTCTCAATGCACCAACCAAAAGAAGCAGACTTGCAGCGTGGATTAGGAAACAAAAACCAACTATATGCTGTACACAAGAAACACATTTAACTCAAAAGGAAATTCAAAGACTGAAAATTAA